GCAGATACTGTGGAAGTTGCAGATGATAATAAAATAAATGATAATGATAATTAAAATAATTATATTTATATTAATAATTATAATGAACTGCTTGTAGCGGGCATATTGGATCTATGATCCAACCTCTAGAGCTCACCAAGAATAATGATGAAGAATAAAATAATGATAATAATAATAATTATAATGATAATTATAATGAAATGCTTGTAGTTGGAGGTTTAACTAACGGGCATATTGGATCTATGATCCAACCCCTGGAACTCACCAAGAACCAGAGAAGAAAGAAAAGAAGAAAGGAAGGAAGGATTACCTCGGAACATTTAAAGGTTGGGTTTATAAGTGTATATTTAAGTGACCCTCCATGCAAAGATGGCAATGCCCGATTTACAACAGTACCCTTGAAACTTCAATCCAATCAAAAATGTGAAAGATATTGTTATTGTTCAGTCTCTATAAGTTGTAGACTCTGATATTATCTCCATTGTGTCTTACAAGCAAGAAATGTGCAAGTCACATTTGCAGAGAATCTACAAATGTGACTTGCACATTTTAAGAGGCAAATTTTTATTTTAATCCAAGTCTGATTAGACAAGAGTACTTTTGTGGTTCGAACAATGCCATGTTTGCAAGGAAATATACTAGAATATACGCTTACAGTCTATTCAAAAGGACTAGAAAAAAAAAACCCGATTAAATTGATTGAATTCCAAACACATTTGTTTATTCAAAGATAGAAAAGATAGTAACATATATATATATATGGAACTTGTTATGTACAATATTGTATTATGTACAGAATGTCGAAGAGGAAATGGAATCTGAGGATGATGTGTACATGACCTTTAGTGGAAGAAAGGTGAGTAAAGGTCATAAAGGGTATTGCACATTGTACAACGGGAACAGCTGATTTTATATACTGTACAAGGGATCAATTGAATATGTGTACTGTACAAGGGAAAGAACTGATTTGATGTACTATACAGGGCTAACAGCTGATTATATGTACTGTACAAGGGAAACAGCTTTTTTTATGTACTGTACAGGGAGAACAGCTGATTTTGTGTACTGTACAGGGAGAACAGCTGATTTTATCTACTGTGCAGGGAGAACAGCTGATAACTGAGAACCTAAAAAGATCAAATAGCTGGGGACAGTCTTGTGATGAAATTAATCAGTTAAACCAGGTAAAATTATACAGTTTTTGGTCCTTGGACTTAAACTGGAATTTGGCCGTTGACTTTGACTAAATATGTCTTTTGTATTAGAAGAAGTCTCGTGCAGAGGAGGAGGAGGAAGAGGAGGAGGAAGATGATGGTTATGCAGAGGAATTCTCAAAATCTAAAGTCTGGGAGAAGCATGTCAGTGACGTGATCAAGTCTACTAGGTTTCTAGTCAGGTATGTCAAGGTTATTATTAGCATGTCACTGATGTGATCAATTCTACAAGGTTTCGAGATTGTAAGCATGTCAGTAACATGATCAAGTCACCTTGATATCTACTTATATATTTCATACTCGTCAGTAACATTGAAAAGATTATTATTTTATTGTGATGTTGTGTAATTAATTGAAATTTAGTGTGTACACTCAATTTATATTTTCAAATGGGTTAAATGTCGTCTTCGAAACCTAACCTAACCTAACCTAACCTGCCGTTCACCTATCCCATAGTTTTCTGGTTTTCTCTGTAAAATTATAAATTGCATGAAAAGTTTGCATAATCTAATTTCTAATATTTTATTAGTCAAGTTGCTGGGGAGACGGAGAGACGGGACAATAGATTCTGTAAAAGTAGATCAACATCAAGGTACTTTATATACATTATACACTTTGCTACACTAATTTCAATGAATTTAAGATAAATATATAATTGAAAACGAATATACATTGTAATATCTAAAGTATAGGAAACTCATGCTTAAACCCTTCCCCAGCCTCAAACCTTTATCTCTTTGCTCTTTTAATGAAAGCGGAGTAGTTAACCTGAACAGATTCATTAAGATTCAACAGTGCACCCCAGATCCTTGAATAGAACAGACGTATGAGCCAAGCTCCGATTGTTCAAACAAGGCTGGGGGACGGGCACTTCATGGACAGCTCTCAGAAGGCTTACAACATGTGGACTTATATGATTGTATCTACAGGATCATATCTTCAGGAATACAGAATACATAAGAATACGCCAATAAACCATTAATGAGTCTGATACTCAGGTTTATGATAGATCAGATGGATATCATGGATGAAATGAATAGGTACAACTAGTTCAACTACCCTCACACTCTAATATTCCAGATGTTTCTATGGTTAGAAACACTGGAACTGTAGAACTCCCTCTTGCTTTGATCAGCAAGGCAAAAGAACTATTCAATTCAACAATACTTTACTATCAATGTCAATCCGGGCACAACTTTATCTGTATCAATTCCCAATCTATATCTTTCTTTCAAGAAAATGACTCAGGAGGCTTCTCGTTCGCAAACCAAGAAGCAATTACTCTCACACTGTAATCAAAGTGGAGTCTAATTCCAACTGAATGTTTTTTGGATACTATGTTACAAGTTAAGTTTATGAACGTAATAACAAGTTTTGCGTCGTTATACACAAATGTAATTAAGCTAATCATGTTACGTAGTTATTTACAGAGTAGTCAAGCTAAATCATGATATAGGTTTTATGAAGCTATTTACAAACGTAATTACAAGTTTTACGTCGTTATACACAAATGTAATTAAGCTAATCATGTTACGTAGTTATTTACAGCGCAGTCAAGATAAATCATGATATAGGTTTTATGAAGCTATTTACAAACGTAATTACAAGTTTTACGTCGTTATATACAAATGAAATTAAGCTAATTGTTTCATAGTTATTTACAGCACAGTCAAGATAGTTCATGACATAGGTTTTACGTAGCTATTTACAAACGTAGATAATCAATAATGTAAAACCTAGTTCAGACTTACAGATATAGCGTTGCACGATATTCCTTTATAAGATAGTAAAAGATCAATTGGTTGGTTGATAGATCGACTGATTGACTGGTCGACTTTTTTTATTGATTGATTGATTGATTGATTGATTGATTGGTTGATTGATTGACTGATCTACATGATTGATTTATTAACTTGATTGATTGGTTAGTCCTGGCGCTGGTTACAGTTCCTACAACTGGTTCACGGAGATGATTTTATCCTCGCCCTGTGTAATGTTCTCATATAGTTATATAGTTATATAGTTATATATAGGGGCTTTTCTCAAGATTTTTCACTTTGAGTATAATTTGTTAAATGTCTAAAATAAGTATAACATGATGATACAAAAAATGAATGAGATGAAATGGATTCTGTTTGGACAAATTGAAATTTTAAAGCTTTTTCCTCAATTCAAATACCTTTTCCTCAATTCAAATACCTTTTCCTCAATTCAAATACCTTTTCCTCAATTCAAATACCTTTTCCTCAATTCAAATACCTTTTCTTCAATTCAAATACTTTTTCCTCAATTCAAAAACTTCTAATTGTTTTTTGATGTGATTTTTAGCTAAGTTTGTTTTTAAATAAATAAATATTTATTGTTAGTGTGCATGATGTTGATACAGATCTGGAATCAGAAACAAGGAAATTTATTCAAGTGAAAATTTGGTTTTTTTTTTCTTTTCGTAGAGTCGATAATTTTACAGTAAATAGAGAGACTGGCGGGGTAACATATTTGAACCGAGAGTGCAAATTCTAGGATGCATTTGTTACCATTGAGATGTTTTTACAGTTGTTATTCATGAGTAAATTTGCATGGTTAGGTTGGCTGGGTTGACCCCTACAGCTGTTGCTCGGAAAATACAACGCAGCAAATCTACTTCGCCGTCCAGACAGGTTTTAACAACAATTGGATACTTACACCACCTGATTGGATTTGCCGTAATGTTATGCAATTTTTTATATCCTATGGGAACTACAGCGGTAGGCAATAATATCAATATAATGAAGACGACTTTTTAAAGTTTTTATTGTTAACAAGCTTTTTTCGAATCACAAGTCTACAAGTAAATAAAGAGAAGCTTTTTTATTGATAGCTTCTCTTTGTTTCCATGTTTTCCATGCTGTAAGCTTGATATTAAACAAAATTGAAATTGAAAGTCGTCTTCATTGTATTGATATAATCGCCTACCACTTATATAAATTTTATTTTTAGGCAAGTCAGATGAAAAGACAGAAAGTTCTTTTTAAAAACTTTCGTCCTGAAGAAGCCGACTGGTTGCAATAGAGGCAAAATATACCGCGGCAAGAGTGCGCACGATCATCAAGAAGAAAATCCACGAGCTTAAACAATAAAATGACGGGAAACTGTGTTTTAAATGACCAAAATATCTTGTTTATAATTCAATGCATTAGTTTTCGAAATCCAACGAGTTTTCCTGAAGAAACTCGTTTAACAGTGCAAAGATTGTCGTTTTCGTTCTTTAAATTTAAATATTTTTGATTTGGAACAGAACTAGCTTAAACTTGCTATCCAATGTGAGCACTTCTGAATTTGAGAGGAGCACTTGATTCCTGGATTACAGTTGTTTCTGTGAGGTATCGGAGAGAAATCAGATTAGTCCGTTGGTCTGCTTGAGCTGGAGATCAATGTTTGATCCCGAGATTAACATAAAAGTTTTGACTTCAGGGCATATTTTCAGAGCTTACAAAATTTATTAATGTGATGATTCTAATAAAAAGACTGTAAACGACAATCATTTTCCTGTTAAATTGTTATCAATGATACTAGTTTGTTTTTAATTAATTAGTTATTTAAATGGAAACATCCGAATTTATGCATTTTTGCAAAAATTTAACTGACACCGATATAGATATTTGTTAAGCGGTTGTTTTTGTAAATTAACTTTTTAGACTTTTTTTTCATTTAAATAACATTGCTCCATTATATTAATGTAGGCTTTCTAAGAAAGTATGTTACTTGACTCCCACAAAAACAAAGGGAATCTAAGAGTAAATAGATATTGTAAAAATGATGTTACCATATTCTTAAAAAATATTTTGGTTTCTACATTTGGATACAAATGTTTCACTGCAAGTCTGTCTTAATTCTTTTCGAAAAAGATATTTTTGTGTAAATAAGAAGTATATTCAATACCAAATTGTAATAATCTGTGATAATTCACTGATACTTTGTATTTTTATTATATGTACTGTAATGATATCAATACAATTGCTTAATTAACTACGCTAACTTTTGGGGATCTAAATACATGTCATTCTCATTTCTCAATTTCTGCGCTATTAATTTTGCTAAAACAACATTGACCAATAAGTGATAAGTTATCAAGAGTGTAGTTTTATCATGATAAAACATAAATGGGGTGTTTTTTTGCTCTAAAGTTAGACACAGGGTTAACCACGAAGGATGAGACTATACAGAATTTATACGGGTTTTCCTAATATTCACGATTCCCTTCAACTGTAAACTGTTTTATCTTGTCAAATCGTTAAATAAGGCATTAACCAGGGAGTAAGAAATAGAAGGGAGATATAACTTACGAGGTTCGCCCTACCAAATGATTATATATGCTTTGCAGACGGTACTCCATTTGTATAAAAAATATTCAGAATAGGTTATTGTATACGCGGTAATTGTATGAATACAAATATTTCTTATTCAAATGGAGTACTGTCTGCTAAGCATGTGTTAGAATTAAAACGTTTGTTCTGCTGATAAAAATCTTCTATTAAATTCTGTTAAAAATTCGAAATAAGATTGATACTTGAAAGCTTAGAAAAGTATCTTTCCCTAGGATTNGTTTCTGCATACATTAAACTTGATTTTATCTTCAGGCTTTTTAGTTTGCTGAAAAATAGTATAAAAAGATAGTTTTTGCGCTCTCAATGAAAGTAGTTCCTTTGTCATGAATTGGTTTAGGGGTACTTTTCTTGCATTTTTATTTTTATTTTTTTGAAAAGGAAAATGTTTTTCAAAATTCATGAAAAATGTTTGATTAAATTCTATTGCCGCCATCTCTGCAGTTTGAGATAAAAATACATTATTCCACTTTTCTTTTTCAAGCGCAGTTTTAAACGATTTTATGTTATTATCATTCATGTTCCTTTTGAGATTTTGAAATGAATTTTTGTTGTGTTTTAAATCAAGAATAATTGGTAAAAATATTGTATTATGGTCTGAAATCGATTGGACATTTTGGAAAACGTTGGTATCTTTTGGGTTATCATTAGTTATAATATGGTCTAGAAGTGCAAAACTTTGTAAATTTACAATTCGTGAGGCCGCAAAATTTAAAGGGAAAAAGCCTGAAGACAATATATGCATAGTATACTCACTGACAACATCATTGTTTTGCTTCAGAAGATCTATGTTAGCGTCTGAGAAAATATAGGATTTGTAATTGCTGTTATTGCAAATTTCTAAAAAGGATAATAACTCGTTAAAAAATGGTTCAAAGTGATTTGATGAATTATTAATACTGAAATATTTGTTAGATCTGTAATAAGATCCAATTAAAACTGAGACGTGTTCAAGTTGTATTTCTATTGCAATCGACTCAAAAGTGAAAGTATTTTGTATAACTAAACCAGGAATCAATTTTGGATTCAAGTTTTTTTTTACAATATATTGCAACACCTGCCCCTTTTGATGTTTTTCGCGTATTAGTAAATAGTTCAAAATCTTTAATAAAGAATAAGTTAAGTATAGGGACATCCCATATTTCTTGTAAAATTAAAACTGATACATTACCTCCTGATTTTTCGATTTTATCAAGAAATATTTTCAATTCCTCAAATTTTGAAGGCAAACTTTGAATGTTTAAACTAAGGACATTTAATCCGCTAAAATTTCTAATGTTTGATACAAAATTATTTTCACTTTGGTATGTATTTCTAAGCTCGATGTTTGAAAAAAAAATCGAAACCCATATTTGTTTGATCTAGATAATCATTGTAATTAAGAGTATATCCGAAATGAGTATGAATGATGAAGTACACAATAGTTTCATAAAATTTTTCAATTTTATCAATTTCTCCGAATGATTGAAAAAAGTACTCATAACAAACTCTAATTTTCTAATCTTTGCAACCTGACATTTATTATAAACCTCCGATATACATGTTTAATGTTAGTTAAACTCAAGGTTATTATGCAAGGAAAGTTAATTGCAGTTGCGTATATACTCTGCGTACATGTTGAAACCAGTTCTCTCTGGGCGGAATTTGCAAACAAGAATAGATGCATCAGTGTTCGTTTAGTATCCGAGGATAATAAAAGCTTTAAATTTTGATAATTTTGATGATTCACATAATAGTTTCTAATGAGCAGAATATTTCATTGATTTTTTATGTGAAAGATGGATCCCATTTCAGGCTTCGTCATCCGTCTTGTGTTTATATTACCTCACAGAGACAGTACACTGCAATACAACAGATGCGTACACCTCTGAAATAACTTTCCTTGCATTATAACCTTGGTTAAACTAATGTTATAGAAACGTGTATCAAAGTATCTTCTTGTAAATTCACATGCATGTATATTCAGTTGAGATTTAAATATGAATATTGTTACTTAAGCTCTAATCTATGATAGTTGATAAAACTCATAAACTTATTATAAAAGGGAAATGACCCTAACAATTTCACAAACAAATAAAAAATCTGCCAAATTAGTTAAATCAGACGATTGAATTTTTTTTTTTAATTGATTTTTAAATGGAATTGAGTTTTTGCCACAAGTTCTGATTTTCTAATCCTTACATCTTTGCAACCCAATGTCATAATCCTTTGATATTTCTAATCTTTACATCTTTGCAACCCAATGTCATAATCCTTTGATATTTCTAATCCTTACATCTTTGCAACCCAATGTCATAATCCTTTGATATTTCTAATCCTTACATCTTTGCAACCCAATGTCATAATCCTTTGATATTTCTAATC